GACGGCACTCACAAATTCGGTGTTATTTTCGGAAAATCAGTAAGCAGGTCTAGAATTATAAAGACTTTCATCTCTAACGGTGGAAGAAAAACCAAAGTGCACTCCAGTTGCTATGTTTGCTTTGCATTCATTGACGGGACGATGCCTCTATCGAAAGGACCCGAATCAGCCTTTATTAAAGGCTTTCTTCACAGCGTTTCTCTCGAAATTGTGATTATCTAGCCAAACTGCTAACTACTCAAATAGAACTAGGCATAGATTACAAGTAAAAAGGGAATAAAGAAGTTTTGGCTGGAAATTATCACGTGAGTTCAATTATTTAAATGGGAACTACATGTACCAAAGGCCCTTGCGAGTCTTAAAATGTATTTCCATTGATCCAAGTTGATATCACAAAGCCATCTGAATTCGTAAGGGGCAATAATGAGCAAGATGATCATTATGCGGTGTCTGCTACTGTCTCAGTAGAGATTTAAACCACCTAATAATTGAAAGAATTTAGGGTTGATGACGAGAAACAAAGTGAGGTGGCAAAAGCATGATACGCAGCTCATCTTGTGCATATGGTGATGCATGTCATGATGCTTTCATTTTGAGAAATTACTTTCTTCCTACTGAACATATGCTGCTTCAATCAATCAGCCCACCTTTTTTTAACTTAGACTTTATTGCTTAATCCTTTAAAGTTATCCTTAGGCCTACATTTTTATTGCCTAATAAGGATTTACTTTATTGTAAAAACAACTGCTACTGTTGGGTAATTACAGATGTCAAACACGGTTCTGGCAGCTCCATCAGTTATAAAGATTACTCAGTAGAAAGCAAAAATCTTCCCTGAAATCCCCAATGGATGATACAGTAAATCAAATGGTCACAGTGTAGATGAATATTTTATGCTGCCAAATATATGCAATGCGTATATTAAGTTAATCGGTCTTTTGCAATGATTAGCGCTTTTAAAAGTCATGACGAACTTTGACCAAACATTGCAATGGTAATCTGAAATGCTGAGACTGTAAAAAATTGACGGCAGTCTATAAAATGTGCATTAAAGGCTTGTTTTGTGTCTGTAAGTTGTGGCTATGAAGAAGGTTTCATAAACAACATGATATAAACGCTTTGTCATAAAAGTTATTAGAAGTTATGACATTGCACTGTAAGGCTTCGATACTTTGCTTTGGCTGCGTATTTGACTACGTGGGTGCTTTAGTATCTTCAGGTTGTTGCAATTCCTTCCTCCTGCATGGACTTCGGGCCATGGTACTAGTCCCTCAACTCTTCTGTACGCTGGCAATGCATGTTCCACCATGTAATTTTGGCTTATTGCGGCTTTTGGAGGCCTCAAGCACTAGAACATAATAATTTGCTTATTTCAGTGAGATGCATGTGAAGCATTCCGACGATTGACAAATTTCTAAGCCCTAATAGCAACCTTCGGAAGAGATAAAACTTAAGGCGACGGATGGTGCATCAACAAAGGATAGCTATTTGCAGAAACTTACTATCAAGAGATGACAAGCCACATCTCAAACTGTTCCAGAAACGGAACTTGTATCTTTAATGATACGACAATATGAGGCATGGCTTTTCGGTAATATTTGAATAATTCGGATGCTCTATTGCTTCAATTTGTTATTTAATACCAATGCTTTAACACCTTGTGTAACTCTGCATTCGACTACACAGCCACTCACGTCTCTACAGAAAGCGCTTTCGCCCACTGGCACGGTGTCCGGGACACTCCAGTAGTCTCAACCCTTCTGTAAGTTGGAAGTATACTTTCTGTCATACTGCTGTGGCTTCTTATGACTCCAGGGAAGACTCGGGTCTTATATGCATAGACGCATGTGTGTTCATGCAGTTATTTGAAATGGATATACACGATGTTATACTTATACGAGTAGTTTAAAGCATAACTAACGAAAATGATTTTTGAGTATCCCCGGGAGTGACGGCGCCAGAGATGCCATTAATCAGTTTATTGGTTTAAAAGATTTACACACATATTATTGCAAATGCATCAGCATTCGATCTACAAGTGTGCAAGGCTGAAAAAGAGGAGCGTCCACATCATTCAGAGCATTGTGGGTGCAAATAGTGCCTAAACAAAAATTTAATCAATCGCAGATTTGGTGGCACTAGCGATAAGGCCGTCGTGATTGCAAAGCAATTAACGAAGTGAAAGGGACACGGATGAGCAAATTGAGCTCCATTGTTATCGATGTCATAGTCCTCATAGTCCTCCTCAGTACCATCACTACTGCGAGCATGAATAGGCACTGCGCGACAATTTTGAGTTAATAGTTCATATGCTTTCAGATGCCGATCATACTGCAGCCTCGAACCTGTCCAGTTTGGCAGTTGCTGCTGTTTTACCTGGAAAGTTGTTGGTCCAAAGTTCTGCTAATCTGTTTTTATAGTTAATGTGGGTTTTGTCAGTCCGCGGATTTTTTGAGTCGAAATCGTGCAGGGTTTTGAGAGCCTCAGGGTGAGTTACGGTTGTGAGTCTTCATGTTCCAGCTTGGTTTCATGTGCCATATTGTATATACAGTCATGCTTTCAGCGAAACGGATTTGCGAGTCGTAAGTTCACCTCTAGCTGTCACGAAACAGCGTGATTTATCATTCATACAACACTGATTATTGATCGTGTGAGGAAAGCTCTGGTTTAGTTACATTAGTTGGATCTGAGAGGGACTAGTTAGGATTTTGTAGTCTTTGCAGGGCATCACATTGTCCCGTCTGTAATTACCAGCTTTTGGTGGGAGCTTAATACCCTGTAAACACTAAATGTTTTGTTGTTCAACTGTGACCTTTGGTATTTAGAGTTAAAAAGTTAATGGTATTGCCAAAGCTTTGGACCAAATCCTATGATGTAGATAACGAGTGGGCGATTCATAGAATGATTTCATGGCAGGTTAAAACTTCCTAAAATGCTTGCATTTTCATGTTCATTGGCATTGGTATTGGTCACCTTCGACATGTTTCATAGTTGCATTTCCTCCCTCGTATGTTTACTGGCTTTCTTTCCACTTTGCTGCAAATTGTATTGCTTGACCATGGAATAGCTTTCATTAGACTTTTTGTAGGCAGTAAAATAGATCGGGATGTCATTAAAAGAACATATCAAAGCATTTCGAGCATATACGCATGAATACATACACACATTTATATATGTGAATGGACTACACAGTGCAAAGGAGCAAGTCCGACCATTTCAATACACTGCCATGAAAAATTTAAGGACTACTTAACTGCCAAATACGCGTTTGTCTGTGGATCCGGTTCGCCGCTAATGCGTGATCTAAGTGCCCCTCAAATGGGAATAGAATGTAAAACGGAGCATTCCAGCAGGTGTCTCGTACAGGGTAAACTGGTCCTTGTCCAACAGGCACTCAAGGTAGAGGTGGTACGCGAATCACGAAACGAGGCATGATACTGGTGCTTGACTGAGGATAGCACTGCTCAAAATGTCTCAGTAGTCTCAGCAGTAAATTGGATGTGGTCCCACCCATGTACATGTGTCAACATATCAAAACATCTATTTTCTGGAGGTTTTGAGTAGGGAGTGAGCACGACGATTGGACGAATTGCGCAGAGAAAATGAGAGAAGCATTATTGCTGGAGGAGTGTGGGGAATGGTATTGTTCGAGGGACGCCAATAACTCTTTTGTAAGCGTCATAGAAGAATTGCAGAATAGAGGCATGCAGTGTATCCTGCTGTAAAAAGGCCTCCTCTGCTTAAAACAATAAAAGGACTTAAAAATACAGAGTAAGGAAGGAGGAAAGAAGGAAGTGTCAAAGTAAGCAACTCTCAATTTGCCTATACCATTTGCATCTCCCATAGCGTTGCTGTCAAATTATTTGTCGTTTCAGAAACCTACATTGGCCTCCACAAGGTGGATTTAAAAGAGGTTGAAGAAAGCCACCTCAAACAAACAATAATAGGGAACTGGAAAGTTTCTGATATAATGGTGAGTTGGCTTCATGTGTGGAGGGATTTTGGAGCAATTCGGTACACATAATATTTGGAGTAAAAGTCATACGGAGGTCAGTCAACTTCATCAATGGTAAAGGCGTAAATTTACGTTTATCAGTAGTGCATGGCATGGTATCATCCACTAGTGTAGAAAGTAAACAACGAACATTCTCCCTTATCACAAAGTGAATTCCGAATGATACTACTGTGCATCAAATTTGGTCATAGCACGGCTTTAGCTTGACATTTAAAGTGGTTATCTTTGTACATATTGTTGCGTAAAAATTCGCAGTCATTTGAAAATAATTGATGTTCTTTTCGGCTGAAAATGCTTCTGCTCTTCACATAATCATTTGGTAAAAGCTTAGTCCCAGAACGTGTTACCATGTATGACTGTTGTGAATGAATAGTTTGCTTTCTGCCATAGGTGAGTTCTATGCAATACCGTGAATTTGCTGTTTTTTTAACGAGTTTGGAAGGTATTCGGATCACTTAGTGAGTAACTGGGTGTAGAGGACATCAGCTCCACTTTGTTAGTCGTCGTAGCGATGGCGGTGGTGTAAATGTTCGCTATGAAGGAGCTCATTTGAAATGGTACGTGTCATATTTCTAGGGTGTCAATTCTAGCAGTTTCTTACCGCATGTCCTTTGCAATAAATGGGTACGAAAAACGCACCAATTTTGTGATCAAGGAAGTGTTAAGCACTATTCCCTATGGACATTTCCCACTCTACCAGCTGTGCATTTTTCGCTGGGGTGTGATTTTTTTGCTGAATATGTAGGACTTACTTGTGTAGTGTGAAAGCTTAGTAAATTGTAGACCTGTTGGTGCTCTCGCTTAAACAGGAGGTTAGGAGGCGTTATGGAGAACTCAGTTGTTTTCAAGTCGTAATTGCAATTGAATTCCCTTGGTTGGGTGGCCGAAGAGATTGCGTTTAGGAGCAATTAATGAAAGTGTTGTAGGTGCTATTGGGTAGTGATTGGAACGTGAGTTGGTGGCACATTGGTCATGCTAACAACGAAGTGCATTTGACATAAGCAGACGATGATGGAGAGAAAGGGTATGAGAGGGAGAAGTAGGTGGTGTTACGGGAGGGGTATTCCGCTAAATGGAGTGGTCCATCGTGATTGCTTTTGTGTGATGGAATGCTCATGAAAAGTGCTCCTAGTCAAGTCATTGTTAGATGTCAATTTAACTGTCAGCTTGAAGGTGCTGGGAGAATTTGCGTAGCGTGTGATGCAACATAGAGGGAGGCGGCTGGTTGAGTATTCGCTGGATGGTTGGGTAACTTGAGTGAATGACATTCCTGGCGTGGCCAAATGGCATTGTTAGCAGATAATTACAGCCAAGTGCAGGTGCCTGGTAAAGTAAATGTGAGTGGAGGGGATGAAGAGGCTTTGCGACTGATGTCGTCGGTGAGGGAGGCTCTAATCACCATGAGTCATGTGAATCCCTGTAGCAGCACAGTAAGCAGTGAGTATCGCTGATGGAAGCACTATTTGCCTGATTTTTGAGAGCTCATGCAGTTTCCCACACTATCTTGTTGTCGCCCGACATTAGAGGTGGCTGTGAGGGGCTTCTGCAAAATCCTGTGTGCTGCGCTGTGGGTGATGCATTGAAGAGGTATCATGTGATGCCGAATGAAATTATGCGTCAGGAGTACTTGTCTTTTCACTTGGTGATGCCAACGTGGTCAGATCATGTCAGGTCAGGTGGTATCGAATCAGTCCAGGCCGGAGCGGAGCATAGAAGAGCAAGTTAGTCACTGGATGTGCAGAGCACGTCAATTTGTGTTTACGGCTGTCACGATACCCACTAATGGGAAGGAAATTCGCCAAAATGTTGGTGTCGCCTGGCAACCTGTGAAGAGGAAATGAATGTTGGTGAGGAATCAAATCTGAAGAACATACTGCCGTGCTGCTTTACAATGTCCGCACGGATGTTGGGGACAAGGACGGTCACACACCATCGATTGCCTGTGATCACTTCCTCGAGGAATGATGAGGGAAACTGTGAAGTAACTTACGGGAGCAGAAGTGTATCAACCACCAAATGAGGTGACTAAGCCATTGCTGTATTATAACCTCAAAGAGTATGATATCCAGTTCGAATGTTTCTGAGCCCTCTAAGCACTTGTTTATTATGTAGTAGTCAAAACTGATTCCAGCAGGAACTTCTCTTATGCCATGATGGCTGCCTTTTCCATGGTTCTAGATCTACGCTTCCATGGAATTAGCTCACGACATGGTAGCAGAGGAGGCCCTCACAACAGTCTTATTTGATCCACGCTGCTGCCAATATTTCAACCCCCACGGTGTTTGCAGATGCAACACATGGCGGCTTACGAGTCTTTCATAAGATGTTGCCTCGTCATTCCCAAGTGACCAGCCTAAGCAAGTTAAAAGCGCCTTCATTCCTGCCTCAGTGTGGCATTCGGTTTGTACGTCCTCTTATACCAAATGGTGTGCTGTTGAAAACAATGAGCTGTATCACCTACTTGGAGTGGCGAATAGCAGTAAAATTCGTGTCTATCTATAAGTGGGCTGAAGATTTATGCGCGAAGACACAAAGTGATTGTCAAATCAGAAGACGAGGTAGACGGTTTTGCCCTTGAATTTGGTTTGTGCAAATGTCGACTGTGCGGTTTTATGCACACCCTGGGTTCTAATATTACTAAAGCCTTTACTTCAACAGACCCCTTGCACCTACGATTAATAACAAATGTAGTCGTCCCTTCCCTCTGCCACGTGTATTTACAACTCCCACTCAATACCTACTTTGTTTTTTTTTACCTTCTTATTCAAATTTCACTCTTTCATCTCAAAAGATGTCGAACTTAGATGTTGAGGCTATAGAACCCTTGATTTTACTGTGATATTCGGCTGGTTACACCCCATATTTTATCAGGCCTTCATGGTATTTTGGAATTGATGGCAGCCAATGCTAGTCAGTATGCTAATTTTGTTAAGGCCTTTGACTTGCTAGAAGTTGTTAGAGGTTTTGCAATCGACAACTCGATTTCTACCTCAGTAGTGCATTTAGAATGGTTGGTGCCAAGCTCAAGTTTTAGTAGAACGGACCCTCTGTGTGAAGCTGCTCAGGACTTCATTTACGACATCGCGTCAGGTAAGCACACAGTCAGGCTGACTTATCGGTGTTTGCAACTGCAATGGCGTGGTATGTCGGAATTGTTCAAATGTAGAGTTATTCCAACCTGTGCATTCTTGAGTCACGTATGGAAAATGCCTATATCCTGACGATGTGATTTGGGTGTCTCAATTCATTGACTAGTGTGAATAACAGAATTAATATTGAGGGCTCTTTTGTGACACCAACCAACCCACTGACATTTCGTTAATACTTTATTTTTTCAGCCCGGCATATGGCGTACTTTGTTGTTCCTCGATTTATGCGAGAACATCTGTCTCTTGCTAAGGTGTCACAGACTTATTGAAATTATTTTCCCGAAAAAGGCTATTACACGATTATGGTATCTGTAATAGAACTTCCTTAATCACACCAGCTGACTCAAAAATTATTTTGTTCTGCAAAGCTCACCTCTGGGCAATGCGATCTGACCCATTCAGGTTTTTTGGAAATGGTGCGTATTCTTAATTCTCCTATGCTATCATGACATGGCCGCAAAGGTTCCTTGAGATTTCATTGGAAGTGCAAACACAAAAATGTGACAAAACTTTACACAAGTCTAAAATATTGTGCTAGTGAATCTCCTCGAAGGTACGAATTCCGATGTTGAGTGAATTGTCAAATTGAGTCCGTGGACCTTTAAAGCTTTTCCATTTTCGAAGACAGTGGTAGGACACATGCTGCCTAAATAGCGGTGCGAATTAATTTCTAGAATGTGTATGGAATGTTTTTGCAATTGCATGCACCATTACGTGTTTCCAAAGTTTGTAGAGTATTTAAAATACGGAGTTGCGAATTCCTTTTTAATTGACAATTAGTTGTATACATCCAGCTGAGCAAGAGCGAATAATCGCGACAAATCCGTAGAAATCTTCGGGGGTCCCATTTCTTAAAGCTAAACATTTATTGAGGTGTCTTAAAGGTGCTTTTGTAACAAAGTCTTAAAAAGGGCTTAGTGGCAAGAGAAGATCAAGCACAACTCAAATGTAATCCACGATTTTCTTCTGGAAATTGCGTGGTGCACATATTTGCCATTCCATCGGAGGATATATAATCAATGTACACTAAAGAAATCATGCACTAATTGCATCCAAATATACTGCTTCATATATTTGCATGCAAGAAAGCGGTGTATGTATATATACATGCATATACAATATCACATTATAAAAATGCGCCCAAATATAGCTACGCAGGGACATACTCCATTTTGAAAATACAAAATACATCCACACAAACGCAACTCTATTGTCAATTTCGATAATACAAAATGCCAATGAAAGTGTGAATTTTATCGCATTGACACGAAAAATACGTCCACGCATAACAAAAGTGATGTACATGCCAATGTACAAATGCAAAATAAGTTCATACACAAAAAACATAAGCATACGTTCCACCTAACCAACAAAAAACAATAAACGCGTACTTGACAATGTAGGTATATACTGCATTTTCCTTACACAAAATACCTCCGCATCAATCAACGCAAGCGCAAACTCCAATGCACTTACAAAAATTGATCCACGTAGAAGAACACCGGTATGTATACACTTCAATACAAAATAAATCAACCCACACATTCCATCACTGGTCTTTTTAGCATTTAAATAATGCGAAAATAAGCCCACGCATATAGAATGTGGGTTTGTATTCCGCACACTCTGACAAATGCATATAACCGCTTTTTAGTTATGCAAAAGCAGTTCCACAAATGCTAATATAATTCGCATCGCACATCACTGATGAAAAAATGCACTTTCACTTACCAACATAGGCACATGCTCCATTTCAATCGTACAAAAATGTACCGATTCGCAGAAATCAGTAGTCCTTCAGCTCGACTTATGTGTGCTACATGAGCTAAATGTCCCAGCATGCAGAATCACTTTTATTTTAATTAAAAGATTAATTATTTTGATCGCGTTGCCAACAAAGGCTCAAGTGAAATGTTAGCGCACGTAGGTTACCAGTCAAATTGGAACACTTCCTTATGCAGTGCCGCTCCTTTAAAATGTGTTAAGACACCATGGAATGGTTTTTGGAATGTGGCCATTAAAAGAACAGTAATGATCTAAGTGATGCTGGTGCCCCTTTGATCATTGCTGTGACGAAGAACTTGCTATAATTTGAAGCAGTCAGCAAAACGAATTGCTGCATACTTACTTAAAATACTATAGGCTATGTAGATTACCTGATGCATAAGTTAACCGTCAGTCTAAACCTCCCAATGATAGTAATTTGGAGGGATAATTGCAGCCTGAACATCGGCTCTTAAACTTTGGTGACACGAATATTCCGGGCTTCATCGTCTAAACGAATTTGTCAACAGTGAATGGCCAAATAAAATTTAATATTAAGGCAGACCCATACCAGATTACGTTGCTGCTTCAAGGCACTTATTTAGGTTATGGTAAAATAAATGAAAACAGCTGTTGCAAAAGTTTGCCTTGAGTAAAAAAACCCTTTCTCTGGAATATTGTGCCTTGAGTGGAAAGAGCATTTTCCCTGGCATACTGTGCGATCTTAAAGCGTGTAAGTTAAGTTAGACGAGTTGTAAGGTCACAACTCCAGGGCGAGAATGAATTATTCTTGAAATATTTTTACTGAGGCAGCTAAACGGATGCCTTGTATGAAGCAAGCCTTCATCACAAAGGTAATGCTTGTGAGTTGCTGTGTGAGAGTTGTGCAAAGTACAACAGAGTTGCGCTTATGACACTCTCAGCATGAAACGTTTTGAAATACTGCAGAAACAAATGCACGCGAGTAACCACTTCACCTCGTTTCGTTGGCCAACTGATCTACACCTTCTTCTGAGTGGTTATCAACTTTTATGGTTGAGAGCCAAAGACGGTGCTAATACAGAGGTGGGAAGTTCAGGCTACTTTAAACACTGCAGTGTGGGAGAATTGCGTTCAAGGCCTGAGGATGTCAACTCGACCAGTCTCGTGTCCACTGCCGGATATCCTAGCAATCACTCCATACTGCATAACTTTCCTGAAACTTGGGGTTGAAAGATAGCACCACTTATCAGATTATGCACTTAAAATGTCACTCCAATACTTATTCCCATTACCAGTTCCGGGAAGAAACATTTACCTGTATTAAGATTTTTTAACTAACTGCAAATACCACAGAAGTTTATGCACGTAAACCTAATCTTTTTCGCACTTGTTGCTCCATTATCTTAGTGATCGAATGAGAACTAGAAAAGAGTATTCTTTTTCATCTGTGAAATAGACACTTGGCTGTATGAAATAGTGAGTCTGCATAAAGCCAATAGCAGGAGGAGCACTCGACACCCAAGGCAAATTAAATGCATTTGTCAATGTCACTTCGCTACTCATAACCACACTGGTAGGCAGCTTTTGTCAGATTATTAAGTCATTTAAACATTTCGCTGCTTTATTTGCTATACCATTTTCGCATAACGGTGGTTGCTTATAATGTCATTTCGCGGAGCCCAATTAAAGGCCTATGCTGCTTTGATGAATTAACCACCGATGCATATTGCAAATTTATTCTGCCACCCACTTATGCTCGCTTGTAGGACAAATCTAAAGCTATCATGAACCAGAATATGAGCAGAAAAACCACCAACTTTCACATTTGATCATTACTGATTTGAGTTTTTGCCTAAAAGATAGTAATTGCAGCTATGCCGAACGTGCAAGCACTCCCCGTTCAGTCTCGATAAAGCATTGGAATTCCCCCGCATGCACACAATTCTTAATAAATATTTCGCCTTCAACACCAGCCTTGCCTACACAAGGCACAATAAGGAGGACATATGATTTGCTCATATCGGCACTAGAGAGTGCTTAAGTCTGCACTGGGAATATAGGGGCAGCTACACGGGCCACCCAAGTATGACAAGTTATTGGTTCCTTGGCTTTTATCAATCCAAACGCAGACAAATGGGGGAGGAAGGAATTGTCAAGAACCCCATACATTTGAATACCAGGTGGACATTCTGATGGTTCCTCTTAAATTGATGGCTTACAGTGGAAAAAATAGGCGAATTTAAAATCGTAGATCTTGCAAGACACGAGGTGCAATCATCGATGCTTGCATTGATTGCCCATGAGACACAACGCATCAAATCTTGATCTCAAGTGCTTGCGATAAATTTTTTCATGTATGCCAGGCACGTCAATCTGCTTAGTGTTCCACGCAATGCATTAAACGCACTGATTTGTGGCACCCTGAGTCTTTCCTAAATTGTCGTGGGACATTTTATTGGGATGACAGCAAATGTTTGACTGACGTAGAGTAGGACCGAGAAGTTACTGACAGGATCGAGAGGCTACACCGCAGAGCACTTTGTGCGAATAAGGCAATACAGGAATTGAGCCAAAGAAACCTGTGCGCACTGCGTTGGACAGAAGTGAAAGCAACTTTAACAAACTCACGCGAGATTTGGTGATGTTATTTAAGTATACGATAAAATCGTTAAATATGTTAGCTTGAAATATTTGAAGCAAGCAAAGGACATGCGGAACTCTTTTGCGTACTAAAATTAACATTGTTTCTGCCTATTACTCCTGCTGTTCGACTAACTAACTCATCTACATGCATTTGGCCAAATGCCATTTACGCGAGGAATCACTGAATCAAAGTACCCCTTAGGAGGGTGTTCCACAATTAACAAGAGTTGAATAAAGTAAGTCATTTTTTATCAATAGCATTCAAACTTAGTGACTGTTCACAAATAAACTTTACACTCCACTAAACTGGCAAAGTAGGAATTACACTAGCGAGCCATTCCCCTCTCTCTGAACATGCAATTGTCATGTTTCATTAAGAACACATGTAAAGTAGGGGAAATTTACTCGTTTTATTTAAACAGCCTTGTCCTGCGTTTTCCTAAATCCACAAGTCCAATTTTCTTGTATGTTGCGACACGTCCTTAATAAACTTATGGCCACTCAAAGGTGTGGCACGGAAGTGTTGTGAGGTTTGCTTACTGCAACGAAAATATGGGTCCAAAAACAGAATTTTTGTATGTAATGTTGTAAAAATACGAAATAACACGAGCTGCCTACTTGTTAAGCAGAAGGTCTAGTTATATTTCATTCCTATACTCAAGTACAACCCCTCTTGAAAGAACCTGTTAAGGCGAACCGTGAAAGAGAAACCAGCTACCTTTAGCCTAGACGCATAATTGCTCGGGTAATTTTCCTTCTTCTCAGTGAACAACAAAGAACAGGGGGGATGCTTATCTCCACCTACAAATTTACATTAGCAAAGCTATTTGTGTTAATGCAAGCATTCATTTGATTTATCTTCATTGGTAGTGTTAACACTTTGGACTGAATTTTCATTTAGAAGGAGGTGGTTATGTTGAACCACAATACTATCTCGAGAGAGTGGTCAATAAAATCACCTATACAGTAATATGGGTAGATTACTCCTATTTACTACTCTAAGAAATGATCTTCATTCATGTACATCAGGAACTCATGCCGTGTTTGTGTCAGGAATTGCTATTTTATAGAAGTATAAGGAAGTAGCCATTTATTTGGCCACATAAATGTGTAACTCTAATGAGTAAACAGTTAATTTGGCTCTACGTTAAAATATATGGACACTTGGGTCACGGCAGTGTGTGCTTTCGCCCAGTGGAATGTCGCTTAGTTCATTGTCAGTGGTCTCCCACTTCTGTATTCCAGTAATGCTTTATGTCATGCTGACAAGATTCCTGCGACTTCCGAAAGATTTGGGCTCTACATAAATAGGCTTAAATCAAACAAAGATTCAAGCTTGCAATAATTAAATATTTCGGATTCCGTCGTAATAAAATTTGATAGGTTTTTTAACAATAAGCTTGCAACCGCTAAAGACACGCGGATATTATGCGATTGATGTCTAAAATTAAAAAAAAACCAAAATGCTTCATGATATACTATCGTTGAAACGTGAAGGATATTTGTTTACATAGGGTCAATTACTATGCTACAATCCTGATTAAAAACGTAGTTTGATGGATTCTCACTATTATGCAGAAATATTTGTATAGTTGTGGTCTAAGTCATAAGGGAGCAAACCGATATGAAGAATTTGCCGTGCAGTGGTAGTTCATTGTTTACCAGGCTTTTCACAAAAGTATTGCCGTAAGTGGGTAAAGCAAAATCCTCTAGCAGACATGGAAATGGTGTTCAAACGGCAATCCACATTCCCAATAACATTCTGCTCTTTAGAATTTGACGCCTGTTGCGATAATTTAGAGGAAAGATCAGCCTTCATAAGGGTTTTAAGCGCAACAAACAAGTGTTCACTGCTGTGTGAGATGGTGGCGAACTGGTCAGCCAGCCTAAATTTACCCAAGCATATAATCAAAACAAGATTAATCATTAAAGTAAGAAGTCACTCATTGCATAACTCTGTGTTTATTCCCCTTATGCGCCAAGATGAAGCAGGACTGCTCTTGAATTTGAAATGTAGCAATGCAATTGGCATCACTACCAAATAGTCACAGTCTTTCCTATCCACAAAAGCACCATGTATGTGTGCTATCCACAAAAGCACGTAACTCGTGCACAGATTCTGTTAGCCTTGTTGATCGGGAGTCATGTGACGCACGACCTGTTGCATTTCTGACGAAGTCGTCATATCTTGTGGAGGGCTTGACGAAACACCTGGAGATTTTATTGGCACTAAACATTGTTAGGCATTAAACAAGGAGCAGATTATTCACTAATATCTTATCTTGCGACCCTTAATTGTTCGTGTTCTCTCTATAGGGAGGACTGATGGCTCTCGATGAGAACCACTGCACATTATTAAAAGTATGAAAATGTCCCTTGTGAAACCTTTCCTATTTACCACCAACATTTATGTTTTTGATTTACCCCTCGAAATCTTTAACGTATTACATGCCACCTTGTTAAATGGTAAACACGTCAACGTAGAATTTACCGCTTTCTGAGGCTCCTCAACTACACCAAGACTGTCCTGCCATTATTATCGTTCGTGATGCAGCAAATAAGTCTTCAAAGCAGTTACTTGCGCTAACTCCTATTCAACTAACTCTTGCTTGGTTATGCTGAACGGGGACTCAAATTTCTTCTTCTTACCAAACCTTATTTTTATTTCGCAGTCTCATCACAATCGACCTAATTTCACTCGGAGATCGATGGGAATGGAGTTTTGAGGTGAAATTGAACTAAGGTCAATGCAGCGGTTTAGAGAAGCTCATACGCGAGTGTGGCTGTATCGCAATCTCCCTGAAGCTGTTGGACCGGTGGTTCCTTGCTCTCGGTGCCCCACTATCTTCCCTTCACTATTACGGGATCATGCCGCGGGATAATGGCGTCGGATTTGTTTCGGTATGTGTCACCCCAAAATGATCACATTGGGCTGCCTAACCTCCCGTCGGATATTTGAATGCTTGTGCAAACAGGTGGTGGTAAACTCTACTTCAAACCAAATGGTGAAAAGGAGAAAGTAAAATCAGGCGTTATGGGCAATTTCAATTAGCAGCTGGGCATTTATTAACATCCTCTGCTTTGCGCGAGCTCATGGCCAAATGGAAGAATTCAGACCTCAGACAAATCTTCCCAGTTGTGTGATTGCCCATTGACCAACATTAGCATCCAGTATGCCATAGCCTCGTGAGCCTGCTCTCCGCATAATATTACTCGTGTAGGGATTTTGCGTGTCCGGCCCCTATTCAGATGCTGCGGGGAAAACTGGTTCATTAAGCAATGTTTCATGCAGTTCGTTGTGTGATACATATGCGCTCGTCGAATATTGCTCTGTTCTGGAAAAATAGAGAGTAGGTGGGAGACATGACTTGAGTTTGCCTATTGGATATGGCAAGTGGTAAACTACTGGTTGTACTAAGGTTGGGGGAGGCGTCGGCTCTTTTAAATTCATTCATCTTCGCAAACAATGTGCTCACTACACATGGAAGCAGCACCGTTAAAAAGGGCACTTATTAGATGGTAAATAGAAATGAGGTTGTTCCATATTCCATCTGATTTGGCGTTAATCTTGAACATGGTTTGCTTAAATGCGTTATCGGTAATTTTCCACTTATGTGAATGACTGGAGAGAAATAAGCAAGTTGCAAACTGGGTGAATGGTGTAGGGGCTCACGTTGTAATAATCTACAGAAAAATTTAAATTCCATGCTATTATATTCTTCACACTTCTTACCATATCCCCCAAGAATGACGCAAATGGCCAAGTATAGTTAGCTCTGTTATTTTCGCATGTGCTAAAGTCCGCTTGCTGACGTGTTTCTCATGCCAAGATAACTCTGCATTGCAACATTGGCAGGCTGTGGCAGGTTCAGTGTTTCAACTTCAACTCCTATTCAAATTTCCTCGAAACAATTAGGCAAAGGTATTCCCAATTGTCATTAGCATGAATGGTGCACTGCGATCATGGCCATGATTATCTTGAGCATATTTAAGAGCGCGTAGTGAGGCCAAATCATCCGACAGGCATGTATACTGTGCCTCGAGTGGTGTCCAACTCAACCAGCATTAAGCATATCACTTAACTTGAAGACAATCCACAAAAAATGAAGGGCAAAATGACTCCCAAAGTGAGAAATGGGGCATTTGCTACCTCACAGAGGAAGTACGTGCTACGTTCGAGAAGAGGGCAAAACAGGAAACATAGATGTGAATCACGTCACTTGAGGAGGGAAGGCTACTGAAAATTCTACTCAAACGCTTCACCTTTGCCAGGACAATCAATCACCTGTACTGTTACTTCAGTCATGCATAGTGCAATACCTGGCACTCCTCCAGCATTATATGTTTAACTAATAATCAAAACGGAAACGACTCTACAACTAAACGCACCCAACTAAGCACTACAATGACGGATCGTAACATAACACCTACTTCGCACTCCAAAATTCTGCCAAATGCCATGGTGAATCTCACTGCAACATCTTTCTATTTCAAATCAAAGCCCACCAGTCATGATATGGCGAAGTGCCAAATAAATCCACAATAACGGGAAAGATAAATGCTAGCACAAGAAGCAATAACTCTAAATGCACAAGAGTGACCCTTACGTAATATGGAACCCAAATATAGCACATTTCGTTTTCATGAGAAACCATGCAGAATGTGTGAGGAATTTTAAGTTTACTTTGCAGATGCTGCTTACGGAAATGACTACTGTGCAATAATTTTGCCCAAAATAATCAAACTTTACAAGTGGCTGTTAAAAAAACATCCAACATGAAGTTTATCAGGGTTTTTCTTACACTGGTATCCTCTGCTTTTGTTGCCGTCGACACAACTAGCAGTGCAGCAGATGATGCCGGTTCGCTTACGACCACTACATCAGCAGCAGTAACAATCGCAGAATCAGCAGGCGCTGGCACAATGGAATTCACAAGTAAGATTAATGCCTTCAAATGTGAAACTGATGCGAAGTCACCAGTCTAGAAGTGGAAGGTGCAACTCCCAAATTCATATCATTAAATTAAAAGGAGTTGCAATGACTCAAAATTGACTAGGGACTGAGATATCCGAATGCCAATAGGAGGTGGCAACTACATGTCCCACACAAGACTCCCTCAACCACACTATCTGCAAATGTGAAGGAACGACTTAACACTAGCAAGGACAACAAAAATCATAATAAGGCGCTAAGCTAGGAGTACATGCATAAGCAAAGCATGCTTACTAATAATGTACCCATTCCTCCTACGGCAACGTCCATCTCCCCGGTCTTTCGTCAGTTCACCACTCCCGTCCTCGTCAAGTACTAGTGCTTTACATGAGTTGTAATACTTCGTTACCTATTCTATGCCAAGCACATATTATTCGCTTCATTTATTTTTGACAAAACTTTCATTTCTTCGTTTTTACACACTTTACCCTCATGAGAATAACTCCTTTTCTACAGTAACAAGCTTGCCCTTTCCCGTAGCAGCGGTTATTTGTTGCAACGTTGACGCAAAGTGCAAGCTCTATTTCGGTAGGTATTTTTGCATCAATTATAAGTGCAAGCACAGTAGTGTTACTTGAACATTAGGCGTTGTGCATTTTTTCATTACATTTCATTAAATCCAATTTCCTCTGCTATTCGCGCAACGCAAAACTATCCAGGTTGTGTGGAGTTACACAAACTGTAGTACTTTAGATTCACATTTGATCAAGCAGCTGCGATTGAGTAGTTTATTATTTATACGGCAATTTACGTGCAAAAGTTTTACACGTTGATGGAGGAGTATTGTTAGGCTGACGCACACAGGCTTGCAGAGTCGGTCGCGGAATTGTATGTAGAGTAGGCCGGTTAAGGGTTACTTCCAGAGCAACTAAATTTGAAAATCTTTGATACATTATACTCTAAAAAAATTCTTCCTCAAACGCAGTTTTGCAAGAGAAATTATTCAGCTAATGTGCCGACGGCGCCTTGGGAAGAAGAAAGTTATAATGGGATGCCCGAAGTCATGGTGCATTAACGTCTAATTACAAGTAATCTTCTTAAATGCTTTCGTGCCATTTGTATAAATGAATGAGTTAGGTTATTAACTGGTCACTTCGAGCTACTTCTTCCCAGGCTACTTCCTTTAGCAGATGTGCTGCTACATCGTAATTACCATCAAAAATACTAAGCAGCAGAAAAGTTTAACGCGGCTTATAAATGACTCATTGAAATGACTTCCGGTAGCGCTAAGTGGCTAGGAAAATGAACTCGTGTACACGCTTTATCAAAAAATGAATGGTTTTCTTCCCAATGTGAAACATTCTTAAGCATCGGTCAAACTTAACGGACATTTTTAGTTGCATTGCTTTAGAAACTACAACCCGGTTTAAAGGTCGTGGATTAATGGCCTGAGACTGCGCGGTGAATTATGTGTGTCTTCAAAATGCAAAATGAATATAAGAGTCAGAAACATTTGCTTTTATATTAAATAATGCATTTTATCTGTCAGAGCTTCAGGGTCATGTGCAAGCAAAGTGCGACATATATTAATTTCTTCCCCGTTCAAGGTCTGGCTGGATCTAGATTCCGTTTACATAACTCAAGTTGTTGAACTATGGAAACATTTCGACTGACTCAGGTGTGACGTTTCCTTTACACAAATTCATGCAAATGTCTTATTTTATTCAGTTAAAATCAGAGAATAGCGCTATTAAAGTTCTAACTTAGGGAAGCATTAAGGCACTTCCTTAATTTGCTGCTTCTACGAATGGCTACAAAACAGGCGGTGATAACTTCTGATTTCAATCGTTTCGGTGGCGCTGAGAGGGCGAGTAGTGCACAGAAATGTCTTTCTAACTGCAAAGCATGGGCAGTTTTCCAAAAATTTAAGCGTAGGTGAAGGCAGTGATATGCCTTATTTAACTTTACCTTTTGCCACAAATGCTCCTTCTTGGCTACAACTATGGCATAATGGTGTGGCACATTCAGCTTCCGACGCAGATAAAGTGGAATGCAATTTGACATCCGATGATTATACGACCATGAAAATTGCATGCATCGTTACCAGCTGCTAAACAAATGTTTGCTTTCATGCCTTATTTCTTTCATTCTTACGTTAAAGTGAACATTTCATCTAGTGCTTCCAAATGGCATCATCAATTGTGAGATTATGAAGCCAATCGAGGAAATGCATTGAGTTATACGGATGTAAAATTTTACAACCAACTTTCACCATACTGATTGCTAAAGTAATAGTTTGGTTTGTCCGTGGAACTTCTACAAACAGGATAAGGACTATAACATTAAAAAGCAAAGCCACTACTTCTGACTTAAATAAGGGAAGCTAACTATTCGTTCCTTTACATGAATAACAAACTTTCGCAGAATTACCTTAACGAAAACGGCGTTCCTTCATGTCAAACTCGACTTCATTTTCTTTTAGGGCGTTCACGAATGTGATAATGCAAGACAATCCTGACACATTTTACGGTTTGCCGCGTTTGTAAAAATTTGCAAATGCACGAGATGAGTGGTTTGAAGAACTGCCTATTCACGCGGAAGGGCCACCTAAAGGCAGCATTTTCGAGTCAAAACTGTTGCATACTGATAGAAATGATAAATCGGGGACCCTCTTTTAGCTAAACGCTAGCGAAGAATCGGCCTATATAGGGAACTTTTATTTTCATATGCATAGAATAAGGAATTGGGTTTCAACACACATTTTAAATACATAATTTAATGTGAGAAAAGCCAACAATTGAGTTATCTACTTTGCACATCTCAAAAATATCAGACACCCTTTTACACAACAAAGTAAACCATGGACTACTTCAGTCAAACGAACCACACGACTTAGCATTTGATTGGGAATTTACAAATTCTAGGCTAAGACGTTAAAGAATTGAATTTGCATTTACAACACTGAAGCCAGTGACTACGAAAGCCACTTCGATTTTTTGCGTCTTAAGTAAGAAGACATTGTGCCAAGGATGTCAGTACCAAATTTCAACCTGAATTTTAACAAACCCATGAACCTTATTTTAAAGGCTGGATTCAAAATAGCAATTACAATAGGAAGGGTGTAGATTCTTTTGGAAAAAAGCAACCAAATAACTTATTTGTCCAGGCAATTTTTACCTTGTCCTGAATTCCCTTAAAAGGCTTATCGAAACAGTTTCTGATTATGCAGCTGTTTTCAGTCAGAATTGCAGAAAATTAGGTTCACTCCTTTTGCTTGCTACTGTAATTAAATTTACATAACAGAAATGTAAGGATATCGTGCAGAGCATTAAAAAATGCCTCGATTAGCCTACAAAGCGACCAGCCAGACTTGTGGCAAGGCAATGAATTGACTGCATTCCAGTAGAGATTTGATATATTAAGTAATGCGCAGGGGCGGGTATATTAACTGCCTTTGGTGCATTATCTTAAAAACAACTTAATAAATCAGTCAGGGCTATTCGCAGTTTAGTAAATTTCGACAAAGTGGGCAGACACTTTGCAAAGATAGGTTTTGAAAAGATGCCCATCATGAATAAGTAATTCCAAGAAAGTCATCCATACCTCTCGGCCGATGTTAATGTGTTGTCCAGATGCTGAAAAAGCTTTTGCAATTGTGTTCAGGAATCCGAATTCCAGCTAACCCTTTAAAGCGCATTCTTCTACTTTGTTTAATCTAAAATACGACCCAGCGTTTTTCCACAACTTACATAATAAAAAGTTGGCGCAGTATTTCTACCCATTTACTCTACTTCATTTTTGTTATATTTATTGTCTAACCTGCACTAACACACGAAGCGCTTGGAGAAGTTGTTATCCTTTATAAATCATTATAGGGGTTGAGGTGAATAGTACCCATGCCTGTGTGCTGCTCAAGTTTGCTCACTCATAAAATCAACATTTGTTGCACGCTCTTAAATATCTAGCGTCAGAAAGCCATAAAAATTGGAACAAAGTAAAGTCAATCAATAAAATAATATTTTGTACTAGAATTATGGACGACAAATCTATCCATAGATATTCCTGGCTTCCATTAGCCTTCCCCATCAATTCGTTTAAATCCCGTGTTGTGTTCCATCACCCTCATTCAGAATTTTTCTGATATTATACTGTGTTTTGTTTGTAGGAAGCCTTTACAAATGTCATTCCATAATGATCCATTATGAATATCATGGGGAAAAAATATGTGACTCGGATCCCTACTGTATTGGAAACGCATGAGGCAGGGCAGACAAACTGAGTAATTAATACCATTTGTTGACAAAGGTGCAGTTGACTAATTCCGTTTTGACCCAAGTTTGCAGTGCAAATCTGCTTAAAATGATATCTGTTGCGAAATATGTGCTGAAGAAATCGCCGACCTGAACAGGTTGATTGTGTGCCAAGTCCTCAATGCACCAGATGTCGCAGTGGCGTCATGCTATCAACTCAAAACAGTGAAAAATTCAACGCTACTTATATTAGGGCACTTCAGTGAAATGAGAGGCCTCTTATGAGTTCCACAAATTTGTAACGCCCACTCTTCATATGCATCAAATTTCACTACTCCTGCAAGCTTGAGTGCCGTTTGCGAATCCTAACTCACACATAATCGCATCTGCGTAGAATATTCACGACAGTTGTAAATGGTTGTAAATCACTTTCCCTCTCTACACAACATTTAGCTTCGCATGATGCATGGCGATTCTCACTGCAATGTGTAGAGTTATGGGACCTTGAAAACCACCCATTTGATGAATATTTCTAAAGTCGTTGCTGACTCCAATCATTCAAGCGGGTAGCATACCTCAGATAGTACTGTATTAACTTTAAACGTTGATAAGGAAGCGTCAAACTAAGGGGAGAAGCATTTTTGAGTTGTGTCTGCCTTCAGATAAGCCTAAATTTAACATTCGTCAGGCTAATTCTTAATGAAAATTTGCAAATGATGAGCATGCACTCAAATTCATGCATCTGACATTAAGTGGATTGACATTCAGTGGTTCGCTCTCAGGTATCGCAAATTACGCACACAGAGCTTATGTGTGCCATTACAATTTTCTTTCTCCATCATCATACTAGAGGGTTCGTGCTGGTTATCAATTAGGTGGATGCTATGTGATTTTAGCTGTGGTTCTAGGGGTATTCTTTATTTGTTCGCATCCGAGTAAGCATGGTGGTTCTTAGAGTAAAGTGGGCGTGAAGTATGAGCTGCGATTGGTGTCGGTCGTCAATAATTCAAAGGGAATTATTTAAGCGTCCTCTTTGATGGTATCACCCCGTGCTGACAACGCCGAAAGTACTGAAATGATCATAAAAATAAGGGAGTCTATTCGCACCTGATGCTATTGCCGTGAAGACCACCACTTTAATATACATTAAATTGCTGCTGTGCTGCGAATGCAACCCTCTTGTGCAATCCGGTGTATGGCCATCCAAATATCATCCATCGTGTTTGCAGTGCTATTCATCTATCATGGTTTATCAAAATAGAGGGATAACAACAGGTCAAAATGGGCCGTCTAATTGTTTAACCTTGCCATTGGTTTTCAATTCATATTGGGGATCAGTTGAACATACTTTATATTGGAATCAGCGAGAACGATTGGTCACGCCGCCTCTCCAACCTTCACATCCACATGCAGGTGTACTGATGGCACGCCAAAGTCCAAGTTAGAATGGATCTGCATGGAACCCTCTTAAAACCTACTTATGTGGAAGTGGAATTTCTCTTGGAGAGCATTAATCAAGGCTGCTGTCCATTTGTAGGCGCGGTGTCGAAAGTGAATTTTAAAGAAGGAAGAACGTGACACTGGTTGAATAGTGTTGAAGTTTACGTGGGTTTTCGCACTAGACTACGCAACGTCTTTATAAATATCCGCATGCATGGGCACCTAGTAACATGTTCATCATAAGCAAGCCTTATTCCTTATTTCGTCTGGACAGGTAAAGATAATAAGGGTCAGTTTAAAACCACGCTTTACATACTTCAATTCTTGCGCCACATTTGCATACAACTAGTACCTATTTAGTGGCACCTGTCTCCACTAAAACCCCCAGATAATTTAGCCTAACGCTACTTGGCGGCACTTAGTGGATGATACTTATCAACCATCTGGGGTGGCATCTCTCCTGTCCTTGCACAACTTATTTCAACTTATTTTGACCCACGTCTGTATATTGCTCTTATCAAACATCCCGAAACGAAAATACCCAGTACTATCTATTAATGTTATGAAAAATTTTCAATCTCGCTCATGTGGACATCTAAAACTCAACCTAGCTGCTCATTATGAGATAAAAACAAGTTGATAAATCATTGCGCAGACAAGTCAGAGTAAATTTACATTACTATGCTCTGGGTGACGTCTTATAAAGGCATTGAAAAATGGTATAATTTGAAAGTCAGTGGCGTGACATAAACTAAACAATTCATTTAATTTAAGCTAGTAGTTAAAAATTTATATTTTGGCATTGAATTTGGAAATCCTACTAATAGTTTAATTTACCTTAGACGGGCAGTCTTTTTCAATAAACCGTTCACTTGAATGAGCTATTAATGTTGAATAGGCTTACCTCAAATGCGGAAATTATATTCGTCAGAATTTCTGTAAAGGCCATCAGTCGGGATTGCCACCGTCTTTGATTAAGTGGCTTGTCTTAGTGTGAGGCCTCCTAATGATATGCTTAAAGGCCCCCAACCAAATAGTAATGAAGCAGTTTGAGATTCTTTCAGTACAGAAAGAGTTGTCTTAGCAGCTATGGTGGGAAGTGTATTTCAAGACAATGTTTTGTTTAGCGAAATATCCTTTTAGGGCTCCTCAATACGATTTCAACTTTTGAATTGTGACCTACATTATCAGCTACATAAGATATGCAAATAAAGAAGCCAATCAGCGATCAGTGCATTCGATTACAATTGATGCTTAATGCTGAAAAGACGAGTGAGAAATCTGAAATACGATGTAATCTTGATCTAAATGCCAGAAAATCATCATTGATATTGGGTAGAGAGGGCATCGTGGAAGTGTTTGATGCATTGTCGGATGGTTTTGACGCTACTGCTGCCTTTGTTGCAGCAACTGTTTTGATATGGACAATGGTAGTTTTTACATCTGTTTTAGCAGATAGTGAAGTAAAATTACTATTCAGATTTAAATTTATTTTAAAAATTGGCGATTGCTCTTGTTTTGAAGATTAATCTGATGTGTGCTTTTACGACAGATTAATCACAGAGCTTGTCAATTAACTACTGCCCACTGGATGGTGAACAATACACTCCAGAGCTGCTCACGCAGCTACACCGTCAGTCAGGCGGGGTGATAAGAACTAAGAATTGACTATTGTCACTTCCCTAATGAATAGAGGGAGCAATACCAAAGTTAGTTCTATCAATTGAGCAGCTGATATGTGAATTTGGAAATTGCAAACAATGCATGGTCTAGCGGAGCGGGCAAAACAGTGAGTAGCATTGTGATTTTGAAGACATCCGCAATGACGTGACGAGATATTGGTAAAAAGGGAGTGCTCTCGTGATCCACTTCAAAGCGAAAGCACGATTGTCAGGACCTGATGTCAAACCATAAATAAGAACAAAACCGTAAACTCTCCCCACTTGAGGCGCAGAGAGGCTCAGTCAGACTTCAGTCCGCTTTGTCACTCACCTCTGTTTAGTTTATTCCAGTTTCTCTAGTGTGAAGGAACTGGAGGCTAATGCGGCTGATCTCCTCATCATGCAGAAGTGATTTTGATCGATGTAAATGCATTTATTTCGTACCTTCGTGGTAGCCGAAATGAAATGAGAAAGACTAAAGTGACTGTTGGCAGAGCTCAGCAGAGATTGTGCGGTAGACTGGAAAATCAGACAATGTTTACGCAGGGTATGTTCGCGCAAGATAACCTCTCCTACTTGTTCAAATACTTCAATGGGTAGGGTGGATTTTACTTTCCCATTCACTTTCAAAACTATCGGTGACTTACTAGGTGAAGGCGGTCTCTAGCACCAATTCACATTTACTCGCCCCTTTTTAATCCACTCGATCAGCAGTAAGGTTTCTTTTTTAATGCTACTTTGCCCTAGCATTAACGTGTTACGTGCGTGAGCCATCTCTTTAAAACGGTAAAATAACACTGGATCACAGGATTGAAAACACTCGATTTATTGCGCATTTCCATTTCTGGTTACATTATTCCCCTCCTTGGTAGTCAATAATGAGTACTTGGCGTAAATCGCATATCTTCACTGTAGCCATGCAAACGAAGCATTATTGAATCGAGTGCTCATCTGTCTGATGTAACTTCTTCAATGAACCGGCCTTTGTTTTAAAACGCAGAGGATAAGTCTTTTTTCGCATGCGGTTTTAATAGTCCAGACAAGGTGCGCATCGAACACAGTCCGCTGGCAGCATCATAATCAATGGACAAAGTATCACCTTTGCAGCATACACTTTTGGATGAAATAGCAAGATGCCTAATTTCTTAATATAAATTCTGCGTCTAGTTCTGTGGGCATTATGACAAATTCTTAGACTCTCTTCGTGTGCACTATGGGGAACTTTTGTGTGAAAGCTCCCAAATTGACGAGAGTGCCGTTATTGTGGATCAGCTAGGAGGTACTCAATTCAGTTTTGACAGTTCTAAAGCAATGTTGACTAAGAAGGCTGGCAATTCATCAAGTCCCTCCTAATCTAATTTGCTCTTCGCAATCGGCATCACCCTCTTCACTTGAGTACCTATAAATGTGAAGTGGCTATTGATAATTGCACCTATCATTCATCAGCAATCCTTCTGATCCAGCATTTCTAACGGACCCGTGGTTAATTTGTAAGGTTTTCTGCATTGCTCACAGTCCACCCTCCATGTTGACATTCGGTATTTCTGCTTACATTCAATAGTTTCATGAGTTGGTGTAGTTGGCAATACTACAGCAAATGATTTTTTGTTCCAGCATCATAAGGGTAGATTATGAATGGTCTTGAATTAATAGCATACGGCAGTTAGCTGCTTTATATGGGCAGAACCTCAGATTGTCCATGCAATATGTACAATACGCCTGCTAGTGCACCACTTCTATGCATGGGAATGCACACCTGTGAATGAAGGCACAAAGGCGTTGGTTGCTGCATTCGTTGAATAACACTCTCACCTAGCAAGTATGGGGTAGAAAGAATTCAGTTCCCGTTGATTTCTTCCTTGAGGCAATGCAGCATGCTCTGAATTGGACCAAAGTTGCCTTAACCCATAGACCACTACGCTGGGCATGAAGTTATGGTGGAAACAAAACAGAGGAATGCAGTTATTACTGGGCCACTCATTTTACAGCTGATGAAGTCAATGGTGTTGGCAAACTGGCTCAGCGTTCTCTTCTTCCTCGTTGTAGATGCCGCGTATTAGCACCAAAACTGTCTCAGTCTTTCCAACCGCGCTTCTACTGATTTTGATTACCTTATATTATTTTCGAGTTACGTACTCTATTCGGGTGTTTAAGCCTCCTGCTTCCAACCACCAATACATCGTAATGCCTGAAAGTGGGCCGAAGTCAAACGACCTTTTCGACCTAGACTCGATTCCGTGGCCAAATACAAAGCGACCAAATGTTAGCAATAATGTGATGGTTGCAAATTTGGCACCATTTGACGTAAAAATGAGCCCTGGCCAATACGCCACCTTGGAAAAGCTCATTAGTCAATTTGAACAAGTCATGGTTTCTTTGAAACTACAGGATCAGTGGTTCCACGGTGCCGGCTCCCTGCTTGGCTCACTTCAACATCATGACCTCATTCCCTGGGACAACGATGCCGATGTGTGTGCTCATCTTCGCTATCGGCAACGAATTCAACAGGCCCTCAAAAATCTTTGGCCTAAATTTGGAACGTATGCACAACCCTCTAGAGACAAGCTCTTTTTCAAGCCAATGGATAAAAATGCCACAACTGACTTAAACACTATCGGCAGTCATGCTTTTAACCATATGCCTGGTGCTTGGCCATTTATTGATATCTGTTACTATAGGGAGATTGATTCAGCAATGGGAGAAGAGTTCCTTCAAAGCTACCGTAAATTCAGCCTAGGACACATCTATCCTCTTACCTACAGACCCTTTGGCAAACACTGGTATCCGGCACCACGAAGACCCATCAGTTTTCTCAAAACTTTCTATTCAACAAATAAACAGTATTACTCATCTCATTCTTATTCCCATGCCCTCGAGAAGGTCATCGTTGCCAAATATATGGACTGCGGAAGACTGGCGGAAAGGTATGCATTTGTTCACCGCTGTCCCATTCCTGAGGAGGAGAGAGGTAACACACCCTTGGGATTCTGCGATGAGCACTTGGTTGATGGCAGTGGACGAAGTGTGCACAAAATACGGACAGTTCTTGACCCAGAAGAAATGACTATACCCTTGTTCACAGTCAGACATGAATTGTTCAAATGTCCTCGAGAAATATTGTGTAAAGCCATTTACTAAAACGAAAATGAATTAAAGTTATTCTTACATTTGAATTTCAGTAGGTTTCTTCGTTATTATTTTGGAAAAATCACTTGCCTTCTTTTACTCCAGTGAATTCTTCCTCATGCAGCTGATGGCAAATTAGACTTATATTGCATCAATTCGAATGAGTGCAAACGATAGTAATTGTATTTACTGCAACCCCTTACGCGAAGACACGCAAACCTGGTGCTTCTGTGATAGGTTGGACTGCTAAATCTAGGCTGCGAAAATCGGAGGCACTTAATGGCAATAACATTTCAGCTGAGCGGTTCGTGCGCAATAGACGGTGCCGATTCTGCCTCCAATACGTCACACAATCAGAGAGCGCCGTTGCTGTCTATTTAAACTAGCTTTGGTGGAATTTTGATCTCTGTCAAGTAAGGTAATTGAATTGTCTGCAACCCGAGGATTACCTTATAGCCACGTTTTCAGACTTTGCATTGGGAATGCTGGTGTGAGCACAGAAAATTCGCTATCCTTAATGTTAAGTTGTGTTGTGGAATACTTTGAAAGGTAAACTAGATCGCTGCTTAGCCCTCTATTCAGATTTTTTTTTGAAATAAATAGCCCATTTGCACAAGATATCGAAAAGACTATAACGTCAGAACCAAAACTGATAGGAGTGCAGTTAGGGGCATTGCCATGAACAGGTCTCGGATTGCTCAAACCGTTTTTTCTATTTTTCCAGATAGGCCACCAAAAAAGGCAAACTTCCACGTGGTTCTTTGTTTTAAATGCAGGCACTCGTTCAACGCTGCCCTGTTCCAAGATCTGGGAGTAGGTAGGTCTGCAATTCTATGCTAGACATGCACAAAGTACTAAATCTGCTAAATTCGGCTGAAATTGGATCGCCATGCTTCACTGCAAAGCACGGCTCCTTTTCTTGTCTACTGATGCACTTTTGTAGTTTGCTGTGTCAGTCCTTTTCTAAACACAATTTCATTACAAATAAATGCTTACCTGTCTTATTATTGAAGTTGTCGGAAACATGCTCCCGCTAAGGAAGGTAGATAAGGCACAGTTGTGCATTTATTTATCCATTATTTTTCCAAAACGCCCACTTTTGTTAAGGAAAACGAGTTCATATTTATTAGAACGACTATTGTGCGCATTCACTTTCCAACTAGGAGTCCAGAAGTCTATCTTAATGAGATGATTCAAATTTACTATTAGCTGTGAACATACGTACATTTGTCTGGTATTCTTGCCAATTTTATTAAACTGGATCATGCTTACTCGTGCATCCATGCATATTTTGATGAATTTTGCAAATATAGCACACATCTATTTTCTCGTCTGCGTATTCTTGCAGGAATTTTATTTATTTGAATAATGTCTACGCGTTTTTTACATATTTGCCAATTTTGTGCACACTTATGCAACCATTCATCTATATTCGATTAATGTTTGCACATTCAGCAAAACATTTCTAATGAATGTTTATAATTTAATATATTCGAATGTATATCAATGCTTCAATCCCTTTTCTTGCACGTTTTCATAGTTTTGGAACTTATCCCTACTTCTATTCGCATAGTTTTATCAAATGTACTTATTCGATTTATATCTCTACATTCTTACATCCGTTCCTGATAGATTTTAACAGTTCCAATTATTTTTACAAGTCCGCCTGTATCTGCCGTCCAATGTCAATCATCCTACATATGTATTTATGGATTTATCATTTTTTTGCAAAGCATTTGTAATTCGCACAATCACATAATTCATGCATTCATGCATTTATGCCTATACATGGAAATGTTTTTCTGCTAACTTACTGCAAAATACATGTGTATGATTTCAACAACTAACAGAAAATCTAACTGACTGAATCTGTATTTGCCCATTTCAAACTGCCTATAAGCGTGAGATGTATCAAATACTTACTCATTTTCGATTAGCATTGAAGAACTTGGCATCTTCTAAGCAATAGTTTCTTCCACCAAGATACAAACCAGTGAATGCTTCGCTCAAAAGCAGCGTACTGGCAACTCTCGTAGCAAAGTGCGTGGAGTAAATCGTTATTAGCTAAGTGAAACTCGTTATTAATAAATAGATGGGTGAATGGGCAAATCGTACTAAGCTGTAGCACAATTTTTCATTTGTAAAAATATCCTCCCTACCTATCTGTAATTGTCGTAAGCACCGTAGCCAGCACTTTTCCCCAGTGGGAATCGAAGTAGGTTGAAATCACCTCAATGGCATTGACATAAGCATAGTTTGTTTCGAAATTTTGGTATTAAGCATTTAGAGCTGTTTATCTTAACCATAATGCCGTCAAAAGCACCATTTGATTTGGGCCTAGGCATTCTGCCTTTCCTCTTTACATTGCATGCTTTCTATGTCTGGCCCCACCGAAGAAGTTGAAATATCTAGTATATACATCCACTCCTAATCAAAAC